CCCAGCGGCGGGTAGCCACCGCCTTGCCCCGCGCCTTGCCCTTGCCCTTGGAAGGCACAGAGGATCCAGCACCACTTCCTCCAGCCATGGAGAAAACAAGAAAGACTCGAAGAAAGATTTGGGAAGAAGAAAAAAGAAAACTGTAGAAAGGAAGTACCTGGTACTCTTCCTCAGAAAACAACCCTAATAATGAATGGGTTATCGGAAACGACGACGGAAACAGAGAAAATGGAGACGGAGGATAAACAGAAACGAGAGAAACAGCGTGCGCAAGAAGTTGAAAGAGAGAAAAATGAGTAAAGTGAAAAGGGAAGAGGCGCGAGTGAAAGAAAAGGGTTCCTCCCAAATTCAAAACGGACATAACACGTGTCAGTCAAGCCACACATCTGATGACACATTAATTGAGAACCATTATGACAAAGGCAAACCATCATTACATAACCGTCACTCCCATTAACGCGCCACTTGCACGTTTTCTGGAAATGACCAGTTGCGACACATGGCATCTCGATAAATAGGCGTACGCGAAAGGTCACTGCTCCTTGACGAGCTCGGTTTTAAACTCCTCGACCCACGGTCTTCGGAGCTCGGGGGGCTAGTGTACTATCTGTACCGCCATGCCGAGCTCGAGCTCGGAACAGTTGCGTGGAATGACCTCGGAACACGCATTTGGAGACCTCGGTCTAAACGAGATCCGCAATCTAACCAGATCATAACCGATCTTAGGAGATCTCGGTCCAGACAAGATTCGCTATCTAATTAGATCATAACTGATCTCAGGCACAAGACCCAATGCAACCCTAACTCACACTATGGTACGTGCATTACTTATACAAGACATCCACTCATACAAACCCTAACTTTAGCATCGGAGTCTCTTTTGTAGGTACCACCCCCATCTTGGAACACCAACGTACCTGCGAAGGAGGCTCACCAATCTTACTCGGCGGATCACCTCTACAGCAGATCTCCGGTAAGAACACTAGGTAACAATCAAACATGATCAATGAGCTTGAACATGTTATTCAGTAAACCCCAAGCTGGTTCTTGCTATTCGACAAAATAGTATCTTTGCAGCTATGGAAATAATTGATTTACAAATGTGGTAATCTTGCCCAGGAATCTACGGGTAGTTGATTGAGCTCGTAGAATATATTGCTAGACTTATTATTATTATTATCCTTGTGGAATTGTTGCTATTTCTCATTAATTTTTTTAATGGTCAAGCAGATACCTAAAAGAATTTAATAGCAAGACCAAAAGACATCATTGGTGACAATATGATGCCAAACTTTATCAAAAAAGCTTGAGGGAATGTAGTCAGACTAGCATAGCAGCATTGACCGAGCTGAGATGGTCATACCTCCTATTTTCAAATTTAATGTGACCAAACACTTAATTAACATTTCTGCTAATAAAATTTATTTTATAATCATCTCAAGATTCAGTATACAAAACTCTTTCCTATTCTTGGACACCCCACTGACCCCAGCATGTGAAGATTCACACATACTTTTATGCATACCAGGACAATTATTACGATATAGAATCTTATATATGACCTATGTACTGTTCTTCTAATAGTTGTGTTAATGAAGCCAACTTTCTGGACTTAAGATAGAGAATGGCCAGCTTTGCTGCAATTTTTACTTTCTAGTACTTTCCTTTTTCTTCTTAGGATGATGCCTTACCCTCCTTTATTTGTACTTTCCCTCCAAAAATACTTCTTTGTCTCTACAAGGATGCCCAATAAGCGAAATGACTGACCCATTGCAGCCCAATGGTGGTCCAGCGGTCCAGCCAACCTAATCTCCAAGTAAATAGGCTTAGCATAGAAAAGATTGCAATCCCAATAGTATCAGGGACAGTTATTAATGCCTTAAAATCACACAAGGATTGGATACTAGTATTATAAATACGTGTTATTTTAAAATTTTTTCTCAAGGAAAAATTTCCTTCTATGCTTAGAATTCGATTACATGTTTTCTGTATAAGCACTTGATTATAAAGTTCATATATAGAATTTTTAGCCATATAGAAAACTTGACACCCAGCATGTATATATATCTACCATAGTGTTGTCAATGCAATTATGATATAAACTATTGACATATGGCAAAATCCTTACAGAAAACAGTGCTTTAATATGATTTTGAAAGGATAAGTAGTTATATTATGATAGGATAGGATTTTCATTTTCAGTTTTAATAATCCCTATTGTTTAGGGAATAGGCTTACTGTTAGAGTTGTTTTTTTTTGTTTTGTTTACCACGTTAAGTTAGCAAAAAATGTGGACTGCAGTTTCTCTTTATGTAACCGTTGAGAAGGCTATTTATTAGCCAAACACTTGCTGAATAAAATTATCATCTCCCATAATTATTTTGAGTTCTTTTTTTTAAACTTTTGCTCTTAACATTCTGGCATCAGAGCCCCTACTGGGCCTGATATAAAACAGAGCAACATTTTTTATAGTTTGCAGTAGAAAAGGAGATCGCAACTGAGGGTAGTTTTGTACAACCATCGATCCCTCGCTTTGATGGTCATTATGATCATTGGGCGATGTTGATGGAAAACTTCTTGCGCTCCAAAGAATATTGGAGCTTGATTGAGACGGGCTATGTTGAGCCCGAGAAAGGGGTGGAGCAATCAGAAGCACAACGCAAGAGGCTGGAGGAATTGAAGCTGAAAGATTTGAAAGTGAAGAATTATCTCTTTCAGGCTATTGAACGGAAGATATTGGAGACCATACTTGTGAAGAACACTTCCAAACAAATTTGGGAGTCTATGAAGAGGAAGTTTGAAGGGAATGCTAGAGTTAAGAGGTCTCATTTACAGGCTCTTCGCAAAGAGTTTGAAACTCTAGAAATGAAGGCTGGAGAAGGAGTGACAGAATATTTTTCAAGGGTGCTGATTGTGGCAAACAAGATGAGAACATATGGAGAACAAATGCAAGATGTCACAGTGGTTGAAAAAATTCTTAGATCATTGAGTGAGAAATTTAACTATGTCGTTTGCTCAATTGAGGAGTCCAAAGACATAGATCAACTTTCTATTGATGAATTGCAAAGTTCTCTAATGGTTCATGAACAAAAATTTACCAAGCATAGTGGAGAAGAGCAGGCCTTGAAGGTGACACATGAAGGAATAAGAGGTCGTGGACGTGGAACTTTTAGAGGTAGAGAAAGGGGACGTGGTCGGATAGCTTTTAGTAAAGCTACGGTGGAGTGTTATAAATGTCATCAACTTGGACATTTTCAAAATGAATGCCCAACTTGGAATAAAGAAGCTAACTATGCAGAGCATGAGGAAGAAGAAGAAATGTTGCTTATGTCCTATATGGATGTTAATGAAACTCAAAGAGAAGATGCATGGTTTCTAGACTCTGGTTGTAGTAATCATATGTGCGGAGACAAAGCGCTGTTTTACAATCTTAATGAGGATTTTAGACAGATTGTGAAGTTAGGAAATAATTCAAAGATGTCAGTATTAGGAAAGGGGAATGTGAGGTTGAAAGTGAATGGCTTCACTCATGTGGTGACTGAGGTATTCTATGTGCCAGAACTGAAAAACAACCTTTTGAGTATTGGACAACTACAAGAAAAAGGTTTGTCTATTCTCATTCAAAATGGTAGTTGCAAGATATATCATCCGGAGAAAGGTCTTGTAATACAGACTGAAATGACTACAAATCGGATGTTCGTACTAACTGCAGTACCAATGCCTCAAAAGCCTACTTGCCTTCATACAACAGTGCAAGAAATAGCTCATTTATGGCACTGCAGGTACGGTCACTTGAGTCACAAAGGGTTGAGAACACTTCAGTATAAGAAAATGGTACATGGCCTTCCTCCACTTAAATCTCCAACTGATGTGTGCACTGTTTGTATGATTGGGAAACAACACCGAGATCCTATTCCAAAGAAGGCAAACTGGAGAGCTACGCAAAAACTTCAACTTATTCATGCTGATATTTGCGGACCTATCTCACCCACTTCAAACAGCAAAAAGAGGTATCTCATATGCTTTATTGATGACTTTACTATGAAAACATGGATCTATTTCATGGTTGAGAAATCTGAGGCTTTAGTTATTTTTAAACATTATAAGAATTACGTTGAGAAGGAATCTGGCTGTTCTATAAAGTGTCTACGTACTGACCAAGGTGGAGAATTTGTTTCCTTGGAGTTTAATGATTTTTGCAAGGAGCAGGGGATTAAGAGGCAGCTAACAACAGCTTATACGCCACAATAGAATGGAGTTGCCGAAAGGAAAAATCGAAGTGTTATGAACATGGTTAGATGCATGCTCTCTGAGAAGAAGGTTCCCAAGATTTTTTGGCCTGAAGCTGTGAATTGGACAGCATATGTTCTAAATAGAAGTCCCACTTTAGATGTGAAGAATGTCACCCCTGAAGAAGCCTGGAGTGGAAGCAAGCCCTCAGTTGAACACTTTAGAATATTTGGATGTATGGCACATGTGCATATACCAAATGTGAAGAGAACAAAGTTGCAAGATAAGAGTTTTTCCTGTGTCTTTTTTGGAGTAAGTGAGGAGTCTAAAGCATATAGACTCTTTGACCCAAGAGCAAAAAAGATTGTGATTAGTAGGGACGTTGTGTTTGACGAAGACAAGCCATGGAATTGGGATAAAATCTATGATGAGCAAGTTCCGGTCAATTTGAAATGTGGTGACAATGAAGATATAACTATAATGCATGACGAAAACAACGAAGTTGAGAATGAAGAAAACGAAGAGGTTACTAAAGAGATGGGGGTCAACTCTTCCAATTCAGAAAATATAGTTGTGTCATCCGATACAAATGAAGCAAGGATTCGTCGCACTCCAGTGTGGATGAGAGACTATATATGTGGTGAGAGTCGTCTAGAGGAAGAGGTTGAAGCAAATTTAACAATGTTCATTCCCGCTGATCCGATATACTTTGAAG